CAGACCCAAGGGAAGCCTCAGGCTCATTGACTAAGATTAACCATTGGAACCACTGGCCAGCAGAGGAAAGGCAGGGGGCTGCCTCCCACCCCTGGGTGCACAGCAGCATCCTCTCAGGTCACTTACACTCCACTGCACTCAACACAGCCCCGCTTAGCACCCAGCTCAGCCCACCCTTCAAACAAGCATTTGCTTCCTGCTGTGTGCCAGGCACTCCACCAAGCGCAGAGGATCCAGAGGGAAACAAGGCAGTCCCTTACTCCTGGGGCTCGTCTCTTAGAAGAGAAAGGCAAGGCCTCCAGGGAAGGTGCCGCCCACAGCTATGGGTGAAAGCACCTCTGGGGCCTCCTGGTTGATGGCAGGTGGGTCTCAGGGCAGGAGGGTCTCTAGTCTGGTGGAGAGTGAGGGGAGGGCATCCAGGGGGGTTCTGGCCGGTGCCCTAGAAGGCCCCTGTGTTGATCACACCCAGGTAACTCCATCCTGGGTGGGGAGGGGACTCCCCTGATCCCCATGGACAGGCCCCAGCCCTGGAGGGACCCAGGGCAGTCTAGCTCCCACCTGGTTCCTGTTCTCACCTTGCGCCGACCCCTTCCTGGCAAGGAACACCCTCCCCTCCATCCCACCCATCGCTGGCTCACTTGCAGTGCCAGGGCCCTGGGGGTCTCCTCCCGGGCAAGAGCTCCTGAGTTCAAGAGTCTCTCTTAGGGCCACTTTACAGATGAGTAAACCAAGGCTCAGAGGCTAGTGTGCCCGGCAGACAGCCCTCAGGGGAGGGTTATAATTCTACCTGGGAGAAAACTGAGGTTCCATGATGGGAAGCGACCTAGTCAGGGTCTGATCCCAAGCTGGGGGGAGAGGAGACTGGGCAGGGGGTGGGGACCAGGCAAGGGCGCTGGGCACAGGGAGAGGCCGCAGCCCCTAGACCTGGCTGGAATCCGCACTCCGCAGGGTCTCAGCCCGCGGACTCCGTCCTTCAAAACTTAGAGTCTGGTCATTAGGGTGACCTGTCACACACCCCCACCCTGCACCGCAGACCTCCCTGCCTCACGAGGGGACCCAGGGGGCTGGGAGGGGGGAGTAGTCCTGGGCACCAAGGCTGGGAGGTGGGCATGGGGTGGGGGGCTAGATCAGCCGCAGGTCACCCCGAGGTCAGCGGGGCCACCATGCCCCCCTGGGGTGTCAGCTTCTGCCCCGCCCCGCCTCTGCGGGCGCCGCGGGAGGGGG